TTGATATAGTGAATATCTCGATATAGTGAAGAAAATTCTTCAGCCCAACAACTTCACTATAACAAGAGTGACTTGTAGTAGGTTTTTGCCTACTTTTAAATTCTGACCCGTTTGAACAATTTTCGACCCGTGACCCGTACGGGTCAACCGGCCCGGGTAATAGCTATAAGCGGAGGATCCAAAGAGGAGTAGATTCTTATAATATATATTTTATAGAATTAACTTTAGAGTTATGGTCATCTTGGATTAGGGTTTTAGGTAGTTATATATAAGCAAAATTGCCTTCCCGACATTTTTACTTAACTTACTCAAGGTAGGTTTAGTATTTTCAAGGGTTTCGCTTTTTTTTCTCATCAAAATTCTATAATTTGACGGAAATTCTACGGACAGAGCTTCGGGGCAGAACGGGACAGAGCCGGGTCACGTGATATTATCAATAGAGAAAAATAAAAATTTTCTTGACTCTAAATCAAAATATCTTAGCAACCACCCGACCAAATTCGAGGAACATTTTTATTTGAATTCTATGAATCCATAGAATTAATGAAAAAAAAAATTTCATCGAATTTGGACAGGTGGTTATAGATATATCTTCGCTCAAAGTAGGAGAAAAATCAACAAAACATTAAAATAGAAGCTACATCAATTTTTTTAAAATTTGAGCGGATATCAGTACTGTACGCTAAAATTTTTGCCGATCACTTGTTCCAGCCAATCAGATGCCAGAAAAGAACTATACGTACAGTATGACTGTCAAAACCGATAACCTTTCATAACTGATAAAAGTTGATCCACCATATCGGTCGGATAACCTGCCATTTTCAGATTTCTATAAGAAATCGGGTTTGTAAAGTAAAATTAATTTATTTAATTGGCTCAAATCTGATTTTGTGTAACTGAATATATATATGTAATTTGGCCAATTATATTTAGCTATGATCATGTGACCATTAGGCTATTAGTATCTTAAATCGATAACCTCTCAAAGCTAATACAAAAGCTGCACATCGGTTTTGACAGGGTATACTGTATTATATAAAATGACGCGTGTATTTTTTATAATTCCTTTTAGTTTGTACCACTTTTTAAACCACTCAGCACTTTACTTTCTCGTTCTCAATCTGCTGCTTCAATTTCTCATATGCATTTACTTATTTTTATATTTTTCATCACAAGAGCTCAACGAAAACAAAAAACGATCATATCAAGCAACGAAAACTGTTTCGAAGTTATAAATTGGAAAATGGATTTTGACAATAGCTAGATGCATTTTTCTCATCACCTTTTACTCTGCTTCCATTTTCATGGCAGAGTTTAAAATTGCATCGTCCATTCAATTTACCTCTCTCAACACGTTTTCAATTCCATTATCACAGAAAATCCACGATTAGATGTTGCATTCGTATGATCAATGTCAGGTATAATCAAATGTTTTATTTCTGTCTTCCCATATTCATGACCACACCAACTATTATATGTTACATTAACGTGACCAGTCACTACCAGCAGTGTTGTCAATGGACATGGACATGTCCATGGACATAGACGTCCATGGACATGGACATATAAAAATATGGATGTTC